TGGCTATGTTAAATAACCAGATGGTACCTATCACATATATGTTTGGCCCATTTTTTTAGTACCATGTAAGGGCTAAAAAAAATCAGGGGATATTCCCATAGCCTATATACCCTCTGGTAAACGTTTACATAACTATGGAAAGTTCCACCATTTTCAATCGGAAAATCCACTATTTCTATGGTCATTTTCAATAGCTATGTAACAAATTACCCGAGGGTATATATCCCATAATATATCCATTGTCATATTCAAATCCCCAGAAAAGTTCCCATCAATCACCAAGATAAGCTTTTATAGTTTACAGTATCTCTGTCCTGAAATTCATTGAAAATCGCGGCATTCGTCATCTCACCGCTGGGTCCCATGGTCCCATCCCAACTGGGGGTACCCCAGTTGCGAGCTTAGGATGGATGGTATAACTACTATGGATTACTATGGTAATGTCATGGAAATATCATGGGAATATCATCTGGTTGGTGGTATACCTACCCCTCTGCAAAATGATGGAGTTCGTCAATGGGAAGGATGACATCCCATATATGAAATGGAAAATAAAAAATGTTTGAAACCACCAACCAGTCATGGATTGGGTTTTTTTGTCACCAAGAATTTTCCATACATCCAATGGCTGCTATGGAGATACCCTGTCCATTGCTGGATGGATAAAAATGACAAATCCTACTGTGGTTGGTTGCGAAATCCGAATCACCAGTTGATAGATGGTAAACATCCCATTATTTATAGGGTTTCAACCATCCTTTTGGTGGTGCAGGATTTCGCAACCATCCACTGTATCAATGGATGATTTGGGCACAACATCACCTGTCATGCTAGGCAGCCGGACGCCATGGATGCCATAAAAAAGCGCAGATGCCGCGGCCACGGGACGGAGTTTTGCAGAGGAAAAAAGTTGACCTCTATTATCAATGGAAATTTCAAGATCCTAAGATGGAGGTGCTGTACCATATAAGGCAATTTTTTGTGGGGATATTCCCTTACATAGGCCTGAAAAATAGGCCTTATATATGGTAGGTACCTCCAATCAATCGGTTCCTGAAATGGCCATTGATCTCATGTAAAGCCCACAATAAACCACAGCTGTTCAAGGTTCATGAAGAAACCCAAATGGCAATGTGGTTTGTTTGGATCGTCTTTGTTTCGCGTAGCCTCTGTTTTGTTGTAGCTATGTACAGTGAGGTTTCCCGGAGGGCTATGACCCAGGCATGTAGATCCATACTAATACCTCAGCCATAGCAATCAAATGATCATCTTCAAACAGGACCTGTTTTTCCACATCTCTGGATATGGCTCTAGTTGCTCCTAAGATTTAAGGGGTTCATCAAACAAAATCAGAATACATGGCCAATCAACTAGATACCCTGCAAAACAAAATCCTAGCTGGTTACTAAGTAGATAATCCGATACCAAAAGACTAGTTAGGATTAGTTTCTACCCATCCAGTCGATTGAGCTAGAATAGGTGTGTTTTCGTGTGTTTTCGTACCTGGCTTGTTGACTAGACATCTTCAAGGGATGGCCTCTCAGCCAGCGACAGGAGCAGCCGGTTGCGGCATCAGTAGGTGAGCCAGGGCCAGACTTGCCCTGCTGATCAGGATCACAAATTAGATGTCAACTGTCAACTAATAGTTTTGGGGATGATTCTTGTTTGCACAATTGGATAGCAGCCGGGAAAGGACGCTGGTCCATATTTTCTTTTATCTTCTGACTCCGTTTCGCAGTACAATACTCAATCAACAACCATCAAGGTAGCTATTCAATGGGAATTCCAGGATCCTAAAATGGAGGTACTGTACCATATAAGGCCATATTTTGTGGGGATATTCCCTTACATAGGCCTTACATAGGCCTTATATAGGCCTTATATATGGTAGGTACCTCCAATCAATCGGTTTGTGAAGTCAAAAGGGGATGCCCAGCTTGTGAAGCCAAGGCAGCCAAGGCAGCCAAGGCAGCCAAGGCAGCCAAGGCATCCACTGCCCCAAATTAAGTGAACACCCAGTAGCCATAGCCATAACCAGATAGGTTCCACCCTGGAAAGAACTGGATTCCAAGATGTACCCTCTGGTAAACAAACAGTTTGCTATTGAAAATTGCCATTTATAGTTGATTTACCCATTAAAAAGGTTGATTTTGCATAGTTATGTTAGTTTACCAGAGGGTACCTGGTTGCTCCTGCCTCCCTAAATTTCTTGGAATGCTGTCACTTCAGCACCCTGAGAATTGGATGTAAAGCCACAAACTAGTGCTGTGGGTGAATGATGGAAAGTGGGTCGTTTGTAAATATCACATACCCCCCCAAAAAAAAAATTGGCGAATGGTGGGTGCATCATCTAGACATTCTAGTCGGTGTAACATAAGAAGTACCAAGAAAGGATCTTGATGATGATATATGTATATATATATATAATACCCCAGTGTAAATTCCTAAGTGGTGAATTCCGAGTGTTATCCACCTAGATATAATTCCAAGTGATGCTCCACTTCTTTACTGACCAACTGCTGTCATTCCAAGGCCCCAAATGGCTGACCTGGCTGACCTGGCTGACCTGGCTGACCTGGCTGACCTGTCTGACCTGTCTGAATACCATCCCGTCAGCCGGTCGACCGGGTCATGTTAGGTACACAGAATTCCCATCTTAAGCTACCCTCTGGTAATTTTACTAACGGTTTGCTATTGAAAATGGCCCTAGAAATAGTGAAATGTCCCATTGAAAATGGTGTTTGTCCATAATTATGTTAGTTTAACAGAGGGTATGCCATTATAAACCATTATGAACCATTATATATTAACCATTATTAACCATAGTTATGCCATGTTGTGTTAGTTTACCCACTAAAAATGATGATTTTCCATAGTTATGTAAACGTTTACCAGAGGCTAATCCTCCATGCCCAAACCTGTCACCAGTCCTTTTCCAAGTGAGGACGCAGGTTTAGTTCTCTCATTGCCTCAGGCGAGGCATGAAAGACATGAAGGATTCCGAAGGATCACAATGGATCACAGATGTGGATGATGTGCACCTGTATATAGAGAGTACATCATATCGATGTATTACATTACCCTCTGGTAATTTAACATAGCTATTGAAAATGGCCCATTTATAGTGGATTTACCCATTGAAAATGGTGATTTTCCATAGCTATGTTAGTTTACCAGAGGGTATATACTTAAGTAGGGCCTTAAGTATCTATTGGTTTATCTTCAAGTAGACATTATCCCCAAGTTCGATTTGTGGGATGCCTTTGCTACGGTCCTATCAAACTCCCCCATGAGAATGTGTATATATATATATATACAATTATATATACATATATATGTGTGTATGTATATGTATATATATATATATTGTACACATAATTTCTATATATATATATATGGTTGTTGATCAAAATTCCTTTATCCCGGAACGGCCATTCTTCGCGAATAAAAGTTTTACTTTCGCGAAACTTTCGCGAACTCCATGTTTATCTTTCGCGGGGCCCATGTTGGCCAACAACACCTCTTATAAAGATTCGTTCACAACCTGCCAAATTACGCCAGAGAATCAGGGATCACTTCTTGATAGCCTAAACATGCAGCTAGCATCACGGAATCCCTTCTCAGGGCAGATTGTTGCTGACTAGGTTTTTTTGCAAGGTTTAATGGCCCACCCCCTTCAACATGCCCGCTCTTTCGCATAACTTTCGCGAAAATATCCCTATTCACAGACCCAGGCCATCAGCACGGGGTGCATTGAAGGCAAAGCGAACACCAAGGGCCTTGGTGCTCGGCTCTCGCAAAGCCTCACTTTTGGAAACTTGGCTACTGCATTTGGAGCTTGTTTCTTGAGATTTCAAAAAGCATCATTAGGTAGTGACAGCGGCAGGTGCAAGGATGTGCTTCAGGACCATGGCGTTTGGCTGTTGCGAAGTCTCGCCTTTGGAAGCTCGGCTGCTACCTATGAAGGGCGTGATTGTCCACAAGCACCACCATACTGGGAACTGAACCAGAACCAAACCGAAATTCTTAGTGCCCTTCTCCTGCCGGACACCGGGCGGCAGTGGGTGGCAGCCCTTTACATAATGATTATGATATCCAACTTTCGCGAAACTTTCGCGAAACAAAATTTTACTTTCGCGAACTCGAAAAAAACTTTCGCGAGGGTTTCCAACATAACATGCACGGCTTTCGCAATTAAAACTCCTTACAAGGACCTTTAGATCGATCACCATATACATCTCCAGTAATCAAATGTGGCGTGCTGAAAAATCCCCCATTTCTAGATCATTTTCCCAGTGACACCGAAACATCATAGGTGCATCACTTGGGATGAAAACCCCGCCAGTTGTAAGTTGGTTTATAACCCCGTGGAAAATGGCCCATAGAAATAGATGATTTTCCCAGCGAACTAAACCTCCATTTATGGTTGGCTTTTTCCATGGCTATGTAACAAATAACCAGATGGTAAATATGACTATAAGTATCATACACTATTGGTATTATAGTTATGAGCCAACTTAGCTAACTATGGGGCCCCATCCTGTAGTTATATGGCGTCAAAACCCTGGCCGCCGGATGGTACCCTAAGTCATGGCTGGTATAGCTGGATGGCTCTTCCCCCAGTCATATGGTAGATTCATACGGGGTGGTGCCCCCCCCAGTTACAAGTTTTTTTTGTTTTTTTTTTTAATATAAACCATAATAAACCCCATTAACTATAGCTACCATAAACCCAATCGAATTCAGCCACTTATAAGGCAACGGTTCACGCTATCGAACGGGGGCCCCCATCCTGTAGGATCTGACCCACCTTTATATGGCCCATATCCCATATATCCCCAGGTGTCATGGTTCCCCATTTCCCATATTGGTGAACTCTCCAACAATGGAAAATCACCAATTTTTAATGGGAAAATCCACTATAAATGGCCATTTTCAATAGCTATGTTAGTTTACCAGAGGGTAAAACCGCATTGGCTAGAGATATATCTACCAGGATCTAGCGCTCTTGTTGACATTCTGTCGCACGTTCGTCTTTTTGGCTTCGGGAAGCATCGAACTTTGAGCCTGAAGCTGGAACCGTCACGTGCATTTTCAGTGGGCAAAAACGCCCGGAACCGGGATGGAGGAAGTTGGTATAGGCCACGACCCCAACATCTGCTTGAGCGACTGCTGATCTGCTCAGGATGAACTGCTGGGTCAGCATCCAAAACTGCTCACATAGCTTAACATTCAAAGAGAAAAATCAAATTAGATTCAATAGATCTAGATTTGGTATCTAGATGTAGTCTTTCCAACACAAAGCGGCTTCTATGATTCTCCTAGAAATGCTCTGACTAGACCCTTGCAGAGAAGTTTCTATGACTATTCTCCTCGCAGCAGTATTCATCCGGCAAGCTGCCCTCCGTCTGTGGGATCTTGCGCATGGAAATCTAGGAAGAACATGTCTGATTCAGGTTAGATATTCATGTCAAACAATATTTGTTAAACAAAATATACATTGCATTGCATTGCATTACCTCATTCCTGCACTGTTTGACGTGTACGTTTACATTTGTGTTTGCCAGTTACATTACATTTACAATGTACAATGCATTTTTTTTGTTAAAATTGTTTGCTATTCACGCATGCCATAATTATGAAAACGTATGAAAAAGTATACGGTGTAAAACGCATATGCGTTTCACATCTAGGAGCTACACAAATATTAAATGAGTATCCCCTTCTTTCAGGCACAAGATGCGGTCGGGTCGGATGCGACCAGACGGATAGATTCGGGCAGGGTTGAAACTCGCTCTTGACCTATTCTGTCGCACGTTCGTCTTTTTGGCTTCGGGAAGCATCGAACTTTGAGCCTGAAGCTGGAACCGTCACGTGCAATTTTCAGTGGGCAAAAACGCCCGGAACCGGGATGGAGGAAGTTGGTATAGGCATATCACGGGATGCGCCCCAACCACGACCCCAACATCTGCTTGAGCGACTGCTGATCTGCTCAGGATGAACTGCTGGGTCAGCATCCCAAACTGCTCACATAGCTTAACATTCAAAGAGAAAAATCAAATTAGATCCAATAGATCTAGATTTGGTATCTAGATGTAGTCTTTCCAACACAAAGCGGCTTCTATGATTCTCCTAGAAATGCTCTGACTAGACCCTTGCAGAGAAGTTTCTATGATTATTCTCCTCGCAGCAGTATTCATCCGGCAAGCTGCCCTCCGTCTGTGGGATCTTGCGCATGGAAATCTAGGAAGAACATGTCTGATTCAGTTTGGATATTCATGTCAAACTATATTTGTTAAACAAAATATACATTGCATTGCA